CCGGCTAGTTTTTTGTATTTTTTAGTAGAGACGGGGTTTCACCGTGTTAGCCAGGATGGTCTCGATCTCCTGACCTCGTGATCCGCCCGTCTCAGCCTCCCAAAGTGCTGGGATTACAGGCTTGAGCCACCGCGCCCGGCCACCTTTTTCTTATTTTTAAAGCTACTTTTTGTCCTGCCTTTCTATTCTTTCATTTAGAAGTTCTTTCTTTCTCCTCCTGAAGTATACCAATCCACTTTCTAACATTATCAGTCTTAGTTTCAGCACTATTCCTCTTCTTCCACCAGAGCTGGAACCCAATTTTACCTTCTAATATTTGTGACACAAAATTATATACACATACATAATATATGAAGATTGCTTTGGTGTTTTAACTCGGAAAATGGAGATTATAACAGGTGGTAAACCGTTTCATAGATTTGATATTATAGGATAGTGTATAAGAAGAAAAAAGAGAAAAATTCATGAGAAGATAAAACATAACTTTGAAATATATTAAGCAAAATTTGATAGACTTGCTAGAAGAAATTTCAAAAGCCATAAATACAGTGGTAGATTTTTAAATGCACTCTTCTCAAATTAAATAAACTTGGGGAGGGGAGGGAAACGTAGTCAAAGACTTAAAAAATATAATTAGTAAGTTTATGATATGTATGTTAAAACTATATACATTCCTAAAAAGTTTTTTCTTTTTAATTTTTTTTTTTTTAATAGAGACAGGATCTCACTATGTTGACCAGGCTTGTCTCAAACTCGTGGCCTCAAGTAGTCCTCCTACCTTAGCCTTCCAAAGTGCTGGGATTACAGACATAAGCCACTGTACCCAGCCCCTAAAATTAAGCAATATAAAATATATACATCATTTGCAATCTCACATAGAACAATTGCCAAAACTGACCACATTTACAAGGAAAGTTTTAACCAATCTTGAAGAATTACTATCACATATACAATGCCTTTTGATATTAGTGAAATAAAATTAGAATTTCTCATAAAGTTAGCCAGAAAAAAAATCCTAAGATATTTGGAGTCTTTAAAAAAACAAACAAAAAATCATTCATAAGTACTTCTAAATCATTCATAAGTAAAATCATAAAGTATAAAATGTTTATGAATAAACAGTAAAAGCATTTAATATTATAAAAATATGTGGTATGGCCAGGCGTGGTGGCTCACGCCTGTAATCCCAGCACTTTGGGAGGCTGAGGCAGGCAGATCACGAGGTCAGGAGATCGAGACCATCCTGGCAAACATGGTGAAACCCCGTCTCTACTAAAAATACAAAAATTAGCTGGGTGTGGTGGCATGCGCCTGTAATCCCAGCTACTCAGGAGGTTGAGGCAGGAGAATTGCTTCAACCAGGGAGTTGGAGATTGCAGTGAGCTGAGATCACACCACTGTAACAGAGCTGGCAACAGAGCGAGACTCCTTCTCAAAAAACAAACAAACAAAACAAACAAACAAACAAAAATTGTGGCCAGGTGTGGTGGCTCATGCCTGTAATCCCAGCACTTTGGGAGGCCAAGGCAGGTAGATCACTTGAGGCCAGGAGTTCCAGACCAGCCTGGCCAACATGGCAAAACCCTGTCTCTACTAAAAATACAAAAATTGGCCAGGTGTGGTGGCACATGCCTGTAATCTTATCTACTCAGGAGGCTGAGGCAGAAGAATTGCTTGAACCCGGGAGGAGGAGGCTGCAGTAAGCCGAGATCGCACCACTGCACTCCAGCCTGGGTGACAGAATGAGATGGGAAAAAAAAAAAAAAAAAAAGAAGGCTCCAGATAAGATAATTTGAAAGTGAATAAACTCTGTTTTCAGTGCAAGATGATAATAAAAGGACAATAGAGAAAATCCCCCCAAATAAAAGGAAGGATATAAGTAGAAATTTATAAAAGAAAACAAATGAAAGAGCATTGGGAAGGGTCTTTGGGGATGTAGTGTTTAAAATCTATTTAAATTTCCTAATAAACACAGAAAGAACAATTAGGATAGTCCCCAAAAACACTGGACAACAATACAGCAACCAATAGTAAAACTCACTTAAGCCCAGGAGTTTAAGACCAGCCTGGGCAACATAGGGAGACCCCTCTCTACAAGAAATTTAAAAATTAGCTGGGTGTGGTGGCACACACCTGTAGTCCCAGCTACTGGGGAGGCTGAGGTGGGAGGATCACTTGAGTCCAGGCGTTAAAGGCTGCACTAAGCTGTGATTGCATCACTTCACTCTAGCCTGGATGACAGAGCAAGACCAAGACCCTGTCTCCAAAAAAAAAAAAAAAAAAAAGAAGAAGAAGAAAACAAAGAAGGGATTAAAAAATGATTAGGTGATTTAAGAGTAAGCAACAAATATGAAAGATAGGCACAGAAAATCCAATATACATGTATCTGGAGATCCTGAAGAAGAAAACCAAAATATTTGGAACACAGCAATAACAGGAACTATAATTAAAGGACGATAATCTTCTTATAATAATATTCTATAATTAAAGAATAATACACGAAATTGAAAAACTGAAATGAACATAGAATAAGATCATTGAAAGTAGAATAAGATCATTGACTAAAAAATACGCAAGAGAATGAAAAAAGAAAGTAGAATAAGATCATTGCCTGGTTGTTAAGCAGTAAGCTGAGTGCGGTGGCTCACACCTGTAATCCCAGCACTTTGGAAACGGAGGCGGGCAGATCACGAGATCACGAGTTTGAGACCACCCTGGCCAACATGGTGAAACCCTGTCTTTACTAAAAATACAAAAAAAATAGCTGGGCTTGGGGGTGGACACCTGTAATCCCAGCTACTCAGGAGGCTGAGGCAAGAGAATTGCTTGAACCTGGGAGTTGGAGGTTGCAGTGAGCCGAGATCATGCCATTGCACTCCAGTCCGGGTGATAGGGTGGGACTCCATCTCAAAAAAACAAAACATACAAACAAACAAAAAAAAAAAGCAAAAAAAGAAAGAAACCAGGCAGTAAAAGAGTAAATAAAAGAGCAGGGCACCAAAGATGTTCAAAAGGTATAAGCACAAAGGCAACCACTAAAACAAAGATACAAACCTTTCTAAATATAGAAAGACAATTTTTTTAAAGAAAAGAATCCAGAAGAGAAAGAAACAGTAAATATAACACACCTAAGATAAACTAATATGAGAATTGAGACCAAAGACATGTTATATAATTAAATGTGAATGGGCTTAACTCACACAGCAAGACCCAATGCATGCTGTTCGAAAGAAATACCAGAAGAAAACAGTGACCCAGAAAGACTAAAGTAATGAGAGAAAACCTCGGTGACTTTGGGTTTGCCAACAACTTCTTAGATACGCCCCAAAAAGCAAAAATCAAAAAAAAAGTTTGATAAATTGGACTTCATTAAAATTAAAACTTCTGCTCTGTAAAAGACACTGTAAAGAGAATGAAAAGACAAGCAACAGACTGGGAAACAATATTTGCAAAGTTACTCATATCTGATAAAAGATTGGTATCCAGAATACACAAAAAAACTCTTAAAACTCCACAGTAAGAAAATGAAAACCCATCTTTAAAAATGGGCAAAAGATCTGAACAGGCACCTCACCAAAGATAATATACAGGTGACAAAGAGAGGAAACAAGAGGTGCTGGAGAGGATGTGGAGAAACAGGAACACTTTCACACTGTTGGTGGGACTGTAAACTAGTTCAACCATTGTGGAAGACAGTGTGGCGATTCCTCAAGGATCTAGAACTAGAAATACCATTTGACCCAGCCTTCCCATTACTGGGGATATACCCAAAGGATTATAAATCATGCTGCTATAAAGACACGTGCACATATATGTTTATTGCAGCACTATTCACAATAGCAAAGACTTGGAATCAACCCAAATGTCCATCAGTGACAGACTGGATTAAGAAAATGTGGCACATATACACCATGGAATACTATGTAGCCATAAAAAAGGATGAGTTCATGTCCTTTGTAGGGACGTGGATGCAGCTGGAAACCATCATTCTCAGCAAACTATCGCAAGAACAGAAAACCAAACACCGCATGTTCTCACTCATAGGTGGTAATTGAACAATGAGAACACCTGGACACAGGAAGGGGAACATCACACACTGGGGTCTGTCATGGGGTCGGGGGGGGAGGGGGGATAGCATAAGGAGATATATTTAAGGTAAATGAC